CTCATATTCACAAACAACCGCTCAATTAATAGAAAGGTGGTCATAGGTAGTTGTTCACATGAATGAAAATAACGTTTCAAACATGACTAAGGTAAGTACTGCTTGAGTGACCATGGGCACCGTTCGTGCGACCATGGAGACTGCTTGAGCGAGTTCATAGAGTAAGCCCTATGCTACCTTTCATACCCTTTTCATATTTCTTTCCTAAGTCATAAAGAGACCACTCTAGTGAAAGCTATCGAGAATAGATCAATCCTTATAGTTGTTTAAGAGGAAATATTTTAAATTTCACTTAAGAAAATAAAATCATACTCATTCTGTATAAGTAGAACCCTCACTCATTAATGATGGATGATCTACCAATAAGAGACATTGAGGAAAAAAGTATTATAGGAGATACAAACAAACTATGTGTTATGGATGTCTTGTATTTCACTCTTGGTAAGAAACCAGTTTGAAATTTGTTTTCCTTAGGAAATTGAAAAGGTGGAGAAGGTAGTCGGAAAGTTCACTTTTGGTTGGTGGCTTGGTGGGCACACAAGTCAAGGTGGAGAAGGCAGCTAGTTTGTTCACTTTTGTTTTGGTGGCTTGATGGAATCTAAGCCAAGGTGGAGGTTTGTTGTGGGTGTCTTAAATTCCAGTCCTTGTAGGAAACTGGTTTGGAATTTGTTATCCTTAGGGAATTGGAAAAGTGGATGTCCGAGAATTTCACTTCAAGTAAAAGACCAATTAGAAACCATATTGTATTAGGAGATGGTATTTTGGTCTATAAATAAATTATAGGCCACCCAGTTTATTTTGGGAGATTTTGCCCCCCAGTTTTGGGCATTAATGTTTGATTGTATTCTTTTAATTCGATAATCTTATATAATCTTCCTTTGTTAAGAGTGAAATTTGGTTGTTGCGCTTTGCCCGTGGATGTAGGCTTTCGAGTAGATCAACGTAAATTTGTGTTCTGTATTTTTCTATTTTGTTCCGTTTATTTTTTGTAGCTTTAGTTCATTATAAATTAGTATCAAAGCTACGATTTTGGGATTGCTACAATATAATTCAAAGTAAAAAATTTTGGTGATTAGAACAATTTCAGTCTATGACAGATCAAGATACATGACGTTGCTATGCCAGAATCGTTTGACTTAAGTTCTTATTAGAAACTGTGATCAATGTTGATGGAGATTCAATAAGCTTGTTATTGTGAAGAAGGCATCTGAAAAGTTCACTTTTTTGGTTTGATGGCTTGGTGGGCACACAAGTCACGATGGTGATTTGTTATGGATGTTTTATATTTATGTTATTCCCTTACGGAAATTGTGAAGAAGGCAGCTAGTTCTTTTGTTTTTTTTTTTCATGACTTGATGGAATACAAGCCAATATGGAGATTTGCTGTGGAAGTCTTGTATTCCATTCTTAGTATGAAATTGGTTTGGAATTTGTTCTCTTTAGGGAAATGGAAAGGTGGATGTCCTAGAATTCCATTTTAAGTAAAAGACCAATTAGAAATCCTATTATATTATGAAACAAAGTATTTTGGGTCAATAAATAAATTATAGACCACCATTTCTTTTAGAGATTTTGGCCTCCAATTTTCTGCATCCATGTTTGGCTCTATTCTCTAAATTAGAGAATTTTGTGTAATTTTCCTTTGTCGATAGTGAAACTTGTCGATGCGCTTCGGCCTTAGACATAAGTTTTCTAGTCAATCCTCATAAATTTGTGTTTTATATTTTTCTATTTCATTCCATTTATTTGTGTGTAACGTTTATGCATTATGATGTGTCATCAATTTTTTTCCAACCATTTTGTCGGGATACGAAGAACAAATATAAGCATTCATTTCATCTATATTAGTTGGTCCACGTCTGCGTTGTATGCCAACTATTTTGAATTTTTGTAAAAAAACTAGATAAATTGAACCAAATTTTTTATATTTATATAGAGATGTTTATTGAATTTTATTAGGTTCACTTGTCCACTTGTTAATGGACAGTTACATAAAGTGACACTTCTGACGTTGGGTAATTTGGTGATTATTTAATAAAATTCAGTAGAAATCTATGTGTTAAATGTCAAATCGTCTCTAATCAACTTACACAGATTAAATAAAAAAATATATATTTTAACGGGCTCATATATGCACTGTGAAAAATAAAATTCGTTGGAGAATTTAATGGATTCAGATCACATTATTCAAATCGAATTTGGGTCGAATTTATATTGTTTGGAAAGATAATTAAAATTCAACAATAAATTTATTAGTTGAATTAATGCAACTAATAAAAAAATTCTCAAAAATAGATAAAGTAGACATTATATAATTTTTGAATGATAAATAAGAAAATCAAAATTTTTCTTTTAAGCCACTTTAAAAAAGATAAAGTAGACATTATAGAATTATTAAAAGATAAAGAAATCAAAGTTTTTTCACTTAAGTTAATTTTATTAGTAATATAGATATAAATATGCAATGAATTGAATTGCTTCTCTCTCCAAATAATAATAATGGAACTGGTCTAATGCAAAATTGGCTCAGTTTACATGCAACGCCAAGATCTAATTGGCAAGGAAACGCAGTCATATCATGTAATCTAAAGGACACTAATGCAAAAACAACCAATCCGCCGGGTAGCCATTATCTTGTTGAATGAATGAAAGATGCTTCATGACAAATATATTTTTTTTCACTTTAAAATGAATATGGAAAAATAGCTATTTTTTTTTTTTGAGCAATACTTTTTTGACCTATAAATTTGATTAATTTTTTAATCTAATGATGTGTCTAGTGGTATGGCTTTAATAATATAAAAAAACTAATAATTATTGTAAGAATAATACTATTAAACCATGTTAGTTGTCACATCATTAAGTTAACAAATTATTTTAAATCTTTAATTCTAAATAACATCACTCTCTTTTTATTGAAAACATTAGAGAAGGGCAGTGTGAGACTGGACTGCCTCACCTAAGATTTAAAGATGAAAAAAATTGTATATCATGGCTCACTAATCACAGGCCGGTGTAGGAGGAAAAGCATTCCTGCTTCATTCAACTTTATTGTTTGGAATCATAATTGCTCAAATGAATTTCAGGGATAATGTTAATAGCAAGCTGAAGCTCGATAATTTTATCTCAAAAAGTTGTAATAAAGCTCGGTTTAGTTGAGTTGAATACAATATTACAAGCAAACTCAATAAGCACAATTAATAGGAAACTTACCACACATCTACCAGAAAATGCTCCACCCTTGATTACAAATGAATTGGATGCAAAAAACCCATATTGTTAAGGTTCGCGATCTAGATCACTTCTATTTTTTATCCCAAATTATAATCTAATCCAATTCGTTTTGGAACTCATATCACAAACATAGATAAATATTAATTGATTTTGTGTGTATGGTTGCATAATCACTTTTTATTTAAAAAATACAATCAAAATATAAAATAAAATATTACTTAACTAAGTGGTATGAATATAGTATTTTATGTAATACCGTATAGTAAAGAATCCAATACACATAAGAGTTTCAAAAAGGAATTACGACCCAAAATACTTTAAAAGCTAAAGCTTACTCTCATCACTCTGTGCACCCGAGAAAATGTTATATCATATCATGTATTTGCACTACGTCCAAATCAACTTACTATTTAGGTAATATTGGCTTACCTACTCTTTTTGGTCAATTTGTAAAATGTTTTGGGGATTTTTCGATAGGGCTAAACAGTATAGGGCTCTTTCAATCAACTATCGATAGATCAAATTTTGAAAACTTGTTTATGCCTTATTCCCCACTCAATCAAGAGGAATGTGAGTGTGAGCCAACTTGCTGGCATAGCCGGCATTGAAGTCACATATGTATACATTCCATACACAAAAGACATGACTAGAGAAACACCTACAAAAATGAACCAAAGCCAATTGATTCCCTTCTGCATCGCCACTCACTGCAGTGTGCGTTCAAATCTTATAGCTAGTAACCAAACTTAAAAGTTAAAAACAGAAGACCATATCCCCACCTCAGATATCTTAGCTTTTCTTGTTTATTTTTTTGCACACCATGAATCACCAAATTGAGACCTAATCACCCATAATGGACCTTCCTTCAAACCTCAAGTCAGACGAGGCGAGCCCGGAATGGATGAACAAGGGCGACAACGCGTGGCAAGTAACTGCTGCCACGCTTGTCGGCCTTCAATGCGTTCCGGGACTCGTGATTTTCTACGGAGGCATGGTGAAAAAAAAATGGGCCATAAACTCAGCCTTCATGGCCCTCTACGCATTTGCAGCAGTTTTAATCTGTTGGGTAGGTTGGGGTTTCCGTATGGCTTTCGGTGACAAATTTCAAGTCTTCATAGGCAAACCAGACGTTTCTTTAGACCAAAAGTTTCTCTTAGGACAAGCATTTCTGGGCTATTTTCCGACGGCGACAATGGTGTTTTTTCAGTTTGTTTTCGCTGCAATTACGCCGATTTTGATCGGAGGGGCACTTCTGGGGAGGATGAATTTTATTGCGTGGATGTTGTTTGTGCCTCTGTGGCATACGTTTTCTTATACGATCGGAGCTTATAGTATATGGTGCCCGGAAGGGTGGCTGGCGAAGCTTGGAGTTATTGATTTTGCAGGAGGGTATGTTATTCATCTCTCTTCTGGTGTTGCTGGATTCACTGCAGCTTATTGGGTAAGCACCAAAATCAATTGCATGTATTTTTTTCTTGGCTAAGAGTTGATTAGGGAAGGAGTTACAATATCAAAGTTTATCACATTTTTTGCGTCCAAATTTAATATTTTAAAATAATTTTGCAATAAAAAAAGCTAGAATCGATCACCAAATATTAGCACTGATCCCAATAAATCAATTTGCAATATAATACCAAAAAATAATTTTTCGTTATCTTAGTCTTACCCTTTCAACTTTTCATTTGATCATGGTATAAATGGTCATGCTAAAATGAAAAGGTTAATTCTTATTTTCCTTTGTGGTATATTTATTCATCAAATAGATTTCAACTTCAAATCTTTCATATGAGTCTATGACAGTCTCATAATTCTAGGGGTAATCTTCGAAGTATGTTGAAATAAAAGGTTATACTGAATAATAGGTTTTGTGGTGTTCTTTTAGGAGGGAAGTATGTTTAGATTAGAATAAATAATAGTGAGATATGAATAAAATATAAAATCAGAAGGGATGCATTGTAATTTAAAGACTACAAAAGGGTAACTCTTATAATTATTAATAAGTTTTGTTATTTGACTACTCAACAACTAGAATTGGTCTCATATTGTCCCAAATAATGCCTCTAGGAGAATTTGCAATCAAAAATCATATTTGGAGTGAAACATGACAATTTAGAATGTAATAGGAGATGGAATATATATATATATATATATATATATATATATATATATATATATATATATATATACAGTAATCTATGTCTGAAGGTACGGTACAATGTGAATGATTTTAAGAGGGATGTTGGTGGCCGTGTGATGAATCTATTTGAAACCGCGAAATGAGTTTATTAAAGTCTGTCATGTTTTATATTATAGATAATTTTTAGGGTCAAAGTGTAATTTGTTCAAAATTCAAAAAAAATAAAATTTTCTTTCTCTGCTCCACTTAGGTATTAATAAATCAATGACGATTATCGAAATCAAAAACTAAAACAAATAAATAAAGATTTGACCAAAAAAGATAATGTCATGTTTGATTTTTAACTTTATTATTTTAATATCGTACTTTTTAATCTGTTTCTTAATTTAGTTTTGTTTCTATGCAAACGAGTTTTAAAATCAACTTTTTTAATGTAACAATATACTTTCATAACTTATTTTCAATAATTTTGAAAAATATTTTGCAACCAAGTCTTTACAGTGAAATTAACCCTCACAAAAGATATAAATTGAAAGAATAAGTCCAAAAGAAGGATAGAGGGCGGTAAAAAATTGGCGAAATCACACCAAATTATGATTTATTTATTTTTTAAATCAGAATAATCTCAGTACTAAAACTTGTTGTTTGTACCTCTCCAGGTGGGACCCAGAGCAGACAAAGACAGAGAGAGGTTTCCACCAAACAACATACTCCTGATGCTAGCCGGCGCAGGCCTGCTGTGGATGGGTTGGACCGGGTTCAACGGTGGCGCTCCGTACGCCGCCAGCACAGACTCGTCTCTGGCCATACTCAACACCCACGTGTGCACCGCCACCAGCCTCCTCACTTGGTTGCTCCTCGACATTTGCTTCTTCGGCAAGCCTTCGGTTATTGGTGCCGTTCAGGGCATGATCACCGGCTTGGTTTGCATCACTCCTGGCGCAGGTACTTCTACCTCTCATGTGATTTTATTTTAACAATTTAAGTACGTGTTTTTTGGATTTGTGACAATTACGTGATCTTAAAATTTATAAAATTGCTTACAAATTATCATTGGACTAATTGAAGCGTCAAAATCAAAATTTGTACCTCGGGATATTGACAACTAAAACTCTGTAGTATGAATGAGCTTTCACCAGTTCATATGCTTTTTATTTTTCATTATTTAGCTTGGAAGATAAATCATGGGCCTAAAGAATAATCTTCCATGCACCTAAAAATAAAGCTTTTTATCCCTTTTTTTTAGGACGAATTGTATCTGGCACTTTAAAAATTTTAGAAATTCTCGGTTTATACCTTCAAAGATTATATATTTTTATCTTGTACAATCAATATATTAAAAGTATTACAATTTAACTCTTTCATTAGTTTTCATTATTCACTTCGTCGTCTGTAATATGGTGATTTTTGACAGAATAAGCAACTAAAACTAACGGAAGAGATACATTACAACACTATTAATATATTGAAGGTACAATATGATAAATCTAATCTTTGAAGATGTAAAATAAGAAATTTAATTTTTAAGGGTGTAAAATAAGAAATCTTAAATTTTTCAAGGTGTAAAGTGAGGTTCCTCCTTTTTTTCTCTGTCATCGACGATTTTGGAACCCTAATTCTTCATGTTGATATCCATGGTTATTTGAAACCTAAAGATTAAGCTTCATATTATATTTTGTCAATGATTTTTGAATCCTAATCCGAATCATTTTATCAATGATTAATCTTTATGTTCATATTTAACCAAGTGTGCTTCGGTTTAGCTAAAATTTAAAAGAAAACAAAGAAAAGTTTTCTAAATGGAAAATGAACCTAACTGAGGCATTGGAAACTTCCAACATTATATGCAATAAAACTTCTCTTATCAATTTTTTCCCCAACTTTTTTACCTACTAATTTGGATTAATCATAATTGTTAGATGATCAGTGGAACCCACTAACACCTGCAGACACAACTGTTCATATTAGGTTGGTAGAAAAATAGGCAAAAAAAAAGTTGATGCATAGGCTAAGCACGGTTGACAATAAACAGTGTCGTACTGAATTCATGTCGTATGTGGTTTTAATCGTATTTCTCTTAGTTGTTTAATCATTTATCATCCAAATTTATTTAGGTTATTCAAACACGTAAATTTCATGTCAATTTTATATTGTGTTCATGGATCTTGTTTACAATTGAAAAGTCTAAATTGAAGGGATCCACAAATCCATGGGAATTATGCCAGTACAAGAACCCAAAACAGATTCACTATAAAAGGGACAGACTATCCATACAATGTCCACAGTATCGGTAGCAAAATACTATAGACACATTTTCGGTCCATGTAGCCAGACATATCATAATAATCAGGGCAGAGCCAAGTTCTGGCCCAAGGGAGCCATGGCCACTCAAGTTTGATAATCCATGCCTGAAATTACAGTGTAATGTGAATGATTGTGAAAGGGATGCTAGTGGTCATTGAATGAGTCTATTTGAAATCGTCGAATAAATTTATTGAAGTATGTCCTATTTTATATTATATACCAACGGATTATTGGTCCAATCGTATTTTTTATCTTGTGAAGAATTTATTTTTTTGAGGTTAAGGATTCAAGTCTCTCTTTCCAAAAAAAAAATATTATATATTTCCCTAAATTATGTTTTTTATTTTCTTGTTCATGTTTCCCAAATTTTTGAAATTGTATTTTATACCACATTATGATCTTGATTTTACTTTACCCTCAATTATTGATTTGACCACATTTCACCATTAACCATTCTAATTGTGACATTTTGGACAAATAGTTAAATTATGGTTACAATCAGTGTCACTATGTAAAAGTAAAAAATATAATTTGACGAAGTTTTATCATGCAAATTCTTTTTGAAAATGGATACATTACAATGTATGGTATGAAATTAATTTTAATAAATTCTATATTGTTAACAATAATTTATTAATAACACACATTAAATAAAAATTACAATTTATGCAACTATTTGGTCCTTTTATAATGAAATCCTAGCTCCACCCCGGTAATAATACAACCATGTCATCGTGCCAGTTTTAGGAAAAATAATCTTATTTGGACATAAAAAATTTAACCTTATTTGCTGACTTAATTCACTATGACCATTAGATTGATTGTAGACTCCATCGATCATTAGAATTTACTTTTCATCCATCATTAGGTTAGCAAATGAGGTCTGATTTTTAGGCTCAAATAGCATTATTCTTCTAGGGTAGAAGAAAAAAAAAATATTTTTCATTTTCTGTTGCAACTAAATTCTTTCTAATTTCCAACCATATATATACCTTCACGCAGGAGTAGTACAGTGCTGGGCAGCCATACTTATGGGCATGATGTCAGGAAGTGTTCCTTGGTACACAATGATGGTTCTCCACAATAAACTCAACCTATTAAGGCATGTCGACGACACCTTCGCCGTCTTCCACACCCACGCCCTCGCCGGAAGTCTAGGCGGCATTCTCACCGGCTTTTTCGCCGTGCCCAAACTCAGCCGTCTCTTTTACCTCGTACCCGACTGGGAAAGATACATCGGCCTAGCCTATGGCCTCCAAACCGGCCAAACTTCAGCCGGACTCCGACAAATGGGCGTTCAACTTCTGGGAATTGTTTTCATAACATGCCTTAATGTTGTCACGACGAGTGCGATTTGTTTGTTGATTAAGTTGATGGTTCCGCTTAGACTGAGCGAGGAAGAGTTGGAGATTGGTGACAATGCAGTTCATGGAGAGGAAGCATATGCCTTGTGGGGTGATGGGGAAAGATTTGAGAATGCCAGGAATAATTCAGTTTATGATGTTGATGAGTTCACATCGGTTATGTCAAAGACTGCAAGTGAATTGCAAATGGTATGAGTAATTTTGCTTCAAAGCAGATGCAATTATAATGTCTTTCAGACTAAGAAGGAACAAAAAAATGGGGGCAGAAAAGGAAGGAGGGTGTAGTTGATGAATGAGGGTGGCTTTTATCATGGTTTCTGTGTTCAGAATGTGTTTTTCCTGTACCCTTTCATGATATGAAAGTTGTCTTTATTTCTTGCTACTCCAGTGTATAGTCAGTTGAGACTTGACTACATGATGTTAGTTTCTAAACTTGTTTTTCTTCTAATTTTACTTTGGGATACGGAGAGTCTTGAATAGTAAATAGATTAGTAAATTAAAAAATGTCTAGAAGTCTTTTAGTAGTTTATATACGTATGTAAATTCTCTGTTTTTAGAGAGAACTAGCGAAAAAGTCCGTGTGCAATGCACATTAATTATAGTTCATTTTTTTAGATAATAAATTTTTTTCAGCTTGTGTTGGGAATGTCTGAATGAATCCAAGACTACAAACATAAGGCTCACATACCACTTTGTAACCAAAATATCATGTTTTTTCAAGACATTGTCATAAGCAGATACATTTAGTAGAAAGAATATCTTGTTGGGAAGCATTTAGGAGCTATTTTTTCAAAAATAATAGCTTTTTCTTCTGAAACTTTACATTTTAATTTATAACTATATTAATTGAGGTTAAGTGTAAAAACAAGTATGAATCAGTAGCTCGATGCATAGCACATGAAGAGCTGATGCCCTTACATGCACAAAAATAAAGACTTGCCCTCATATGCACAAAAATAAAGAATTACAACGTTTAAGGGTAAAAGAAATATATGATTAAAATATGGTTTCAAGTAAAGACCCTGAACTCACACTTCATTCCCATTTTTTTTCATAAAAATTGATTACAAACTTAATTGCACTTCAGGTACTTTGATAAAGGCAATGTCGCTAAAAATTTTCATTCATTCTGAAAATCTATATATAAACACCATCTACAATATCAAAAATCATAAGTGAAACTACTGATTATTAAAATGCCAAGCCAGCAACATCTACAAAATCATCACAGAGGGAAATTTTCTATGAATTTCTATCCAGGAAAAAATGGTAAATTTTTAGAAGAGTAGCTCATTGTACAAAGAATTTGCTTCTTTAGAATTAGGTTGTGATTTCTAATGCAGCTGCATCTTTCCATAAATGAGGTTAAAAAGTAAAGGAAAAGAGAAGCCATGCCTCCTTCCTCACCCGTATCAGAGAGAGAGTGAGAAAGAGAAGAAGGAGAAGAAAATATTCTCCACAAAACAATAGACAGAAGAAAGCCAAACGGAGTGGACCATCATTCCTGCGCAAGATCTTGTCTTTCTTAGATCATCGTTCCTGCCCAAGATCTTGTCTTTCTTAGACCATCTCCACTCCTTACTCAAAACAAAACTCAAATTTAATTTTGGGTAAAAAGGGCTCAAAAATCTATCCAATATTTGACTCAAACCAATACCAAAACAAGGGAAATTTATTTCCTGACTCAAATTGAGGGAGAACCAAATCTTTTACTCAAATTTTTTTGAGCCAAAAAGCCCTTTTCCATCCCTGTTCTCTCCCTCCCATCCCTGTTCTTGCCCACCAACCATTGCATGCCATAACGCTCCTTTCCCACTGCCTCTCTCTCTCTCTCACTCTTGCTGTAAATCCATCCACCCACTCACCCAACCCCCATTGCCTCTCTGGATTTTGGGGCTTGAAGCCGATTTCAACTTGGGGCGGTACTTTACAAGAGAGAGGAATGGGGAAAACTCCCCTTCATATCTGATATAAGAATTTTAATCCTTTCAATCAAACACTTATTCTCCCCCATCTTAGAAGAATGAGACTCTTGTTTAAAGAAATGTGATTATGCACAAAAGTGAATTTATGCGCAATTAAATCAGTCGAGTCAAGTGTATGGTGTAATATAATTAATGAAATAATTAACAATAAGAGACAAAGATTGGGTGATTGGGTCTGGTGACCTAACCACCTAAAGCAACAACGGTGGCTGGAGAAATCTATTAATGAGGGAGTACAAGGTAGTAGGAAAGGGAGTGAGCAAAAGTACGCTTAAGGTGAGGTGTGTGAAAGATAGATGTCTCTCCCTCATGTATAGAGAACTTAAAATTTATAGGCACAGAACCCTAGTTGAGGCAGTGATTTAAGGATCAAGGTACTAATTTATCAGCGAGGATAACTACAATTGAGAATAGGTGCTATCTTCGAGTAATGGCTATCTCAATGTTTACTCCCCATGTGTGTTGATCTTCCTGAATTCTTGAGCTTTGAATTAGGCTAAGGTCATTACTTAAGCTTTGGATTAGACTGAGGTCATTAGCTGAGCTTAACCTGCCTTTTGATGATTTGGGTTTAACCCACGAAGTAGGCTCAAGCCTAGTCTAAATTTGGGCTTGTCATTTGCCCTTTATGCCACATGCCCTAGTAATAATACGGGGGTTAAGGGCATGAGTGAGCTCCTCCATTTGGGTACACTAAGGTACCTTGTTCCACACGGTGGCTTATTCCGTTTAGCTTTCCTCTCCATTGCATTTTCGAAGGTTATTTCTTCGTCTGGTAGCCCACAAACAGTAAAGAGAATTAAGAGAGGCATGTATGCTTCTATGCAAGGAGATGGAGATGTATGGCAAGTGGCACCTTTGAAAAGGAAAGAGGGCGCCATGGAGATGATCCAAGGCGACGCCATCGGTGATCCCTTGGTTGATAGATCAATGGTGGAGGCTTTCTATGTAACTAAGATGGCAACTGCCCCTCATCCCAAAAGGGCAAGATCTGATGCTTGCAGCACTTCCCAGCTAAGGTCTGATGGCCTTACTATTTCTTAGAAAAAGGGGTCTGATGGTGTCCCAGCTTATTCTTAGCATTTAACCCTTTGAGTCCTACGGCTAGTTGTAGGAGTACTTCAGAGATTGAGACTCCTGTGTAAACTTCCACTGAGACCAAAGCTCTACGCAATTTTCCTGTTTTCAACAGGCTAGTGTCCATGATGCAAGACGTGAACTTGGCTGAGGAGCATCTTTGGATGTTTGTGACACGATGGATGGCTTTGCTATGGTACCTTTTTTTCATGTGCAATCTTGTCTTCTATATGTTTTAGCCATACTAACATTCCTACTTTCGAATATTCGTAGATGGTTATAGCCTTTTCGTGCCTTTTTTCAAGGATGCTCAAACTGGATGAGGTGTTGAGAGCTTTGGCGAAATAAAGGCGGGTGCGCCAGGCTGTTGAGGAATAGTTAAGGTTGGCTCATGAGAGAGCAACATGTCTTGATGCCGAGTTTTTGAAAATCGAGGCTGCTTAAATGTAAGCAAAGACAGAGTTAGACCAAACTTATGGCGACTTATGAGAAAGCTGTTAAGCTAGAGGCTAAGGCTACTTGAGAGTAGGGGCAAGAATTAGGCTAAGCTTTTTGATGACTCATTAGAGAGGCACTAAGGTGGAGACTAAGGCTACCTGCGTGAGAGCAGAGGCAGAAAGAGGCCAAGCTTCTGGCGACTCAGGAGAGAGCCATTAAGTTGGAGACATAGGCTGCTTGTGTGAAAGTAGAGGCAGAAAGAGGCCGAGCTATTAGCGACTCGTGAAAGAAATGTTTCACTTGGGATTGAGACTGCTTGAGAGCAAAGGTAGGATTAGGTCAAGCTTCTGGCGACTCGTGAGAAAGTCATTAAGTTGGAGACATAGGTTGTCCATGTGAAAACAGAGGCAAGAAGAGACCAAGCTTTTGACGACTTGTGAGAAATGTGCTAAGCTAGAGACATAGGCTGCATGCGTGAGAATAGATGTAGGGTTAAGCTGAGCTTGTGGTGACTCGCGAGAGAGATGTTAGGCTAGAGATATAAGTTGCTAGCATGAGAGTAGAAGTAGGATTAGGCCAAGTTTTTTGGCAATTAGCAATTAGCGAGAGAGTGCGAAGCTGGAGACATAGACCGCTTGAAAGCAGAAGCAAAGTGAGGCCGAACTTTTTCGCAACTCAAGTGAGAGTTGCTAAGTTGGGGATTGAGCTGCTTGTGTCAAAGCAGAGGTAGAGTGGGTCGAGATTTGGGTGACTCAAGAGACTCTCTCCCAAAAGACGGAGAGGACAGTGAAGGTAGCTAGAGGGCGCCGATAGCATAGAATCGACGGTGCATTGGCGTAGAGCGCGGAAGACAAGGTCACTTGATGCACTAGTAGGGGTGACGTCGATCATAAGAGGCACTACCGGATGAGATGGGCACGCGATGTTGCGGTGCACCCAGACAGGTGTGAAGGCAGGCAAGGCAAGCACCAAGGTGAAGGTATCATCCTTAGGGCCTCAGAGGCCAGTATATATAGATTTGACCTATCTTCTTCTTATCCTCTCCATTCCATAAGCCATTGAGGGAGGTTACAAGAAAGAAGCATGAAGGCAAGTGGGAGGGCGATGGAAACGACGAAAGACGTCGCAGACGACGACGCTAGAAGGGGGATGAAGGACGCCAAGAATGAGGGCCTATAGGTCATTGGTTGCTACGACAGGCAGCGCCGGTGGCGTTGGAGCTGGCTAGGGTGATGTCCTTTGCGAGGCAAGTTTTGACATCGGTGGAGTTGGGGCTGGTTTGGATGATGCCAAGGTGTTGGGCAACGCACCAAGGTTGCATTGGGCAACACGAGGACGCGCAGGGCACAAGGGACACGTCGTTGGACTTCACTATGGGTTGGGCGTAGAAGGCAGTAACGCCCGCATAGGGGTAGGAGGAGGCGACTGCGCAATGACTTGGGCGATTCCCTTGGCGCTAGAGATTGCCTCAACGACAGCACCCCTAGGCATTTGGAGGCGACGCCAACTGGGCAGAGTTAGGCTTCAGTGCCGGTGGAGTTGGGGCTGGCCTAGGTGAAGACGGTGCGAGTGGCAACGCCAGCCTGGGCAATGCAAGGTAGCCTAGGCTACGCCAGGCAGTTGGGTACTGGCCTGGGCGATGCCAGGCAGCTGGGCGCTGGCCTAGGCCTAGGCAATGCTAGGCAGAATGGCTCAACTGGTGGAGCCCAATTGGACGGCAGTGTTATTCTTTACGAGTTTCTAAGTGGCACCAATCTTCGCGATAAGGCTCCAAGGAGACGCGGTGTTCAACTAAGTGGTGCCAAGTGTCTCTTTGGGCCACTGAGAGACGACGGGCGACGTCCTAGCATATTGGGTAGCAATGCTTGGTGGAGTATTAGACAATCATAAAAAAAATAGTCAATGTAAACCCCCACATGTTAATATTAATATAATGATAAAAGTGTTTAGTAATTTTAATATATGTAATGGCGTAGGAATGAACAATATATGTTACAACCGTAGAAATGCTAATATTGTAAAAAACTCGGGTAAATATATGAAATCGTTTATAATAGAACTTGTACCAATTATGTTTGATATACAAATTTATGTTGTACAAGTTTGGGTTGGTTTTGGAAAGGTTTGGAATGAGTTGGAAATGAAAAAACAGGTAAAATGGACAAAAGTCGCCAAAGAGTACCGGTACGCCGAGGTCCAGTAGCCAAACCGTACCGGTACACCCTGTAAATTTCAAAAAATTTTAAGTCACGATCTAGGATCCGATTCTCCCCCTATAAATATATAAGGACGTCCCATTTAGTCTCATTTCAACATTTCTAACTCTAAGGAAACCTTAGAGAGGAAGAAAGAGAGGGAAAAATACAAGATTAAAAGGGATTTACACATTGAATTGGATCAAAGTCCTAGTTTTTCAAGAACACCAAGGTAGGGATTTTTTCCTATTCTCTTACATTGAGGCTAAGACTTATATATACGTACTTTTTAACTCTAAATCACATATGTATGCTATAAAATCTTTAATTCTTGTTATTCTTGCAATTATTACTATGTTTTAAACAATGTTATGGTTGGATAACCATTAAAGCCCTTTCTCATCTTCAAACCCTAGTTTCCAAGATAAATGGATTTGTCTCTTGATTTTTCCCTTATTCTTGATTTCAAAACTTTAGTGCTTTGTAATGAACAATAAAAATGGATTTGTTGATGATCTTTTGCTTATTCTCTTAAATTGTTTTCTTGTAATACAAATTATGAAATTTGGGGATTTTGGATTTCCTTATGATTTGAGAAAATGTTTGTTATTGCTTCTCTTGTATGGTTGTTGTGATGGACTTGAATTGTATTCGAGCACTGTCGTAGAGCGTTAGAGGTTAGTCTATCCCAGTGGGGGTAAGATGGTTTCCTAAAACTTGTAGTAGTTTGTTGTTTGTGAGAGCAACCACTATTATTCATGTAAGTTCGAGGCTGAGGGATGATATACCTTTCATGGGAAGGATTCGTCAATGCTGTGAGAGACGATATATGTCCTTCCTAAAATGTTTGGGATTGTGTGATTATGGTGAATGAACGAGGTAGAATCGTGGTGTATATTCATGGGAAGCAACCAACATACATGAGAATATGAGATGACATTATTGAATGATTATTTGATTTCTATCACTCCAACATGCTTATTTCTTTCATTTAAATTATTGCTATTGAGTTAATTTGAGATCAAATAAATTGTCACTGTTTTATTTCAAGTTATATATGCTATTTTAAAAAGTGAGACCTAACTATTGTATATTCTTTTTCTAAACCTTGTTCGAGTTTGGAAGGATGTTGCTACAGAGCTTAGTGCTCAACCCCTACAAACAATATAATTTTCAGATTTTGTACAAGAGAAGGAGCTCGGAGTCGATGAGTCGGTACATTGGGAAGTTCCACTAGATGGGCACGAGGATCCCGAGGTGGATGCTTAGGGTCATACTCTCCTACGTGATAGACTAGGAAATTCCTTTTGAGACTATGTAAAGTCTAACATTTTGTCATTCCGCTACAAAGTTCAATTTTGATTTTGTTAGATGTAATTGTCATAGTTCATCATATTCTTTTTGGATACAAAGGTCATGTTTGGCATATTCTTTTGAGATGATATTGTAAATGTTATATATGATGAATAAAATTTTCTTTAATGATGAATTTATTAGTTACTCTCGTAATGTGAATGATTTTTTAAATTGTAACGTCGTCCAATGTAGATTTTGGGGCATTACAGTCAAATTTTAAACGGTCATAACTTTGCGCTCGGTTGTCAATTTGAAACAAACATTTTTTTGAATTCTGATATTTTTTTGAGATCGACTACAATCAAATTGCTCACGGGGGTTTGGGCACCAAATGTCCCTAAAAAAGCTTCTTTCTCATTGAATTTGAACTTTAACACAAATTAGTGAAAAAATAAATTTTGCACATGTCTACTTTTTGTATTCTTGACTACGTGAAGACCCAGCTCGCCTTACTTTAGCGACATCCTCAACATGAGGATATGGTTGTTCTGAATAACTAGTTGTTACATGGTCTCCAACTGTTGTTGGGATTCAAGGACAGGGTTCATCGGTGGTGGCTGGAGACCTCATCGTGGTGTGGTGGGTCATCTTCTGCTTATTAGTTCATGGATCTGATTGTAGTTGCCATTGAAGGTAGTCTTGATGGTAAGAAAACTATAAGGTGAGAATCAAATCGATTCTCACAGACGGCGCCAAACTGATGATGCACAAAAGTGAATTTATGCACAATCAAATCAGTCAAGTGTGTGGTGTAGAGCAATTAAAGAAACAATTAATAATAAGAAACAAAATTGGGTGGTTGAGTTTGGTGGCCTAACCACTGAAGACAGCAACGGTGACTGGAGAACTCTATTAATGAGGGAGTACAAGGTCGTAGGAGAGAAAGAATACACTTAAGGTGAGGTGTGTGAGAGATAGTTGTCTCTCCCTTATGTGTAGAGGGTTTACAATTTATAGGATAGAGCCCTAATTAAGGCGGTAATGTGAGGGTCAAGGTACTAGTTTAACGAGGAGGATAGCTACAAATGAGGATAGGTGCTATATTCGAGTAATGGTTATCCCAATGTTTACTCTCCACGTGCGCTGATCTTTCTGAACTCTTAAGTTTTTGATTAAGCTGAGGCAGGGGCAGAGCCACCCATAGGCTAGGGTGGGCACATGCTCCCTGTCAATTTGTTTTTTGCTTCATATTAAACATGTATTTTTTAAAATAAAATTTAGACATATTTAATTGTGTTCACCCTAATATTGTGTTTTGGTGATATTAATTTGAATAGACTCATACCTAAATGATTGTTAAATTTTTTAACAATGTTATTGAAACATAATTTAAAGACCTAATACATTGCGATATTAAGTATAATAATGAGTCTTAATATTTAATAAACTCTATTATCTATATAATTGTCACAAATCATTGAGTCTCCATCAATTAAATCTCAAATTAGGTACTACTAATATCATTGTTAACGTTTAGACATGTCCGAATATGTTTTGAACATATTGTATGTTATTTTATAATTTTTTAAAATTGTAGGATTATTTCGTTATTGTATAAAAATGTGTGTCATTATATAATAAACTATAGGATTATAAATGAAAGATTATTACTGCGATTTTATATATAAGAGAAATATTATTGATAAAATTAATATGTAACTCTTTCAAATAATAAAAACATACAAGGGTCAATTATAAGAAATAATAATTAGTCATATTCTCAATAATAAGGTTTAATCATTATTTTTTTATGAGTATATCGATTTTTAATCTTCTATGTTTAAAAAGTAGTAAATATAATTTTAATAAATATAAATTTATGAACTTCTATGGTCTATTAAAAAAAAAATTAAAACCTACTAGTGTGCCCACCCTAAAAAAAAATTTTAGCTCCGCCCCTGGGCTGAGGTCATTAGTTGAGCTTGACTTGCCTTTAGCTCAACCCATGAAAGTTGAAGATCTACTACTTCAAGTGAAATTAGAGAATATCATTTCAACAAAAAAAAAATTGAAAAAAATGAATTTTGAAATAATATAATTTTTTTTAAAAAAAATAGAGTATAAATTTAATTTTACTTATTAGAAAAAGTCATATAAAATCATAGGGGTGTCAAACATGTCAGGTTGGGTCATTTCTTGTAGAGTTAGTGTCGGGTTTGTGTCAAAAATTCCTAAACACGAACCTGACATATTTAATAATCGTGTCGAGATGTGTAAACACTAACCTGACATGGTCACTGTACGTATTACCCGAACCTAACATGTTTCACACATTTAATAAACATGTCATTTTCGAGTTAACACATAACATGACATATTTAACCTGTTTAACCCACATATTATATTCTATCTGTTTAACACCTTTTAAAAAAAATCAAAAGATTTTATTGAAAAAAATTTAAAGAATTACAAGAAGCAAAAAGAAATCAATTCATAACATCCATTTCAAATTAAATGGCTTTAATCCTTCAAAATATGAAAAAAAAAAAAAAAAACCAAAAATTTCTTCTATGGGCACAATCATTCCAGCTCCAGATCTGCTCCGGCAAGGCCAACAACCTCCTACACCCCTACATACCCTACACAATTCATCCATGATCATCAAAAACCAAAACATTTTTAGTTCTCAAAACTGGTAAACATCTCTGATCCTGTACCAGTCTTCGAAGCACATCAACAGGTAGCTGATTGGACACAAAAAAAATCAAAAAGAACCCATCGTTCACTGCCTGATTAGCCAAGGCATTAGCTACAGTTTGGGGTGTTCAAATTTTCGACCGACCGCAAATTTTGACCATACCCTATCCTACTGAACGGCTAGCCGCAAAAATCGGGTAAGAATGTGGAAGAGTTTTTGGTCTTCCGACAATTTTCGGGTAGGAATGCGAAATAGTCATTCATTTCCGCATTCGTACCCTACTCTACCCGCAATAATTTTTTAATGTATATATATATATATATATATATATATATATATATATATATATATATATATATATATAAACTAAAAAACCCTAAATCCTAACCACAAGCGGAGCAATTATGATTTTAATGTATTTTCATATGGTTTAAAGTTTAAACTTAAATTAATTGTTATTGTATTTGTGTAACAATTATGGTGGATTGATGTTCATATTTTTTTGTGTTTTATTATAATTCTTGTTGTAGTTGTTTTAGATTTTAGTGTTAATTGATTTATTGTGTTGTTAAATTGGTGCATGTTATTTAATTAAATTGTTAAAATGATTCAAAAATTAATTGTTACAAAATATTTACCCGATTAATCAGATAGGAAGTCAGGTAGAAATACCACACCTGTCGGGTAGGGTAGGCTAAGAA